CCACGGGAAGACGGCAGCAGTTAGCGAAAGTAGAAGCTGCTGGTGACGTTGGGAAATCGAAGCTGCGTATAATAGCCTGTGTAAGCTGGAAGTCAAAGAGAAGGACAGAGGGCCTTCTAGAAGCTTCCTGAACCATTTCTGCTGGCTCTGAGCATATTTTCTGAACCATCACTTGGGGAGACCGGTCTCGTAAGGATGGGTGTGTTTAGGGGGCAGAACCACCCCGTCACCGTGGCGCCCACAGAGGGAGGCGACTGTGGTGCCCTCTCCACGCCGGTGGTTTCGGCCAGGCTGCGGCAAAGCGGGGGCCTCCTAACGAGGCCTCTGATCAGATCGCATCGGCAGTCGCTCATTTTTGTTTTAACCAAGCAGTGAGATTTGCTACCGTTCTACCTGAAGTGCCTTCTCCAAAGACGTCCTCTCTGCCTCGTGTTGAATCATCATCCAGTGAGTGTATTTCAATTAAAGTATCATTGGTTGACCTCGTAAAGATGATGAAGTGACACGGCAGCTTTGCCATTAGGTGACCGTCTCCTTAACTCAGATTCTTCTTGCTCTGGCTCCCGAAAGGAAGGACTAGGTCCGGCCCCAGTAGTACTTCCTTCCTGAGGTCTTTACCTCCCGTAAAACCCTGAGGAAGTTTGGGAAGAGCCTCCGCTGCCACTTTCGCAGACAGAATGCGCATCGACCCCACCCCCCTCGGGTCCCCTGTCCCTCGAACCTAGCATTGCTTTAGAACACAGGTGTGGCTCAGAGGTCATTACCTCATCAGAGGAATGTCAGTGACGACTGTCTTCCTGTCAAGCCTGTAAAGAAAGAGATTCCAGTTCAGTGTTTGCAACAAGGATCTTGAATCCTGTTCTTTCCATTGCACCGCCACATTGAATTGTTCTCCTTTGCCTTGATTTTGTGGTATAGCTTAGACTCTGGACTTTGGGGGCAAAGTCTTTCACCAGCATACAAGGGTTCGATGGTACACGTATACCTGCTGCATTAACGTCTCTGCCTGTAGCTTAAGATTAAGTTGTTTTGTACTTGGAACAGAAACCCTTGGTCTCGGCTGGCTTCGTTTGTTACAGGACACTGACTTCACTTAGATTTCCCTCCACGAAGTCCGCAAAGCATCATGTTATGTAAACTTAGGCCAAGACAAGATTGCGATAGTCCCTAGGTTGCTGAGGTCTGTTACGTGTTTGGTGAGAGGTGATGGGAGGTTCTCAGATGAGATCACTCTCCACGAGATGGTATCGGGAAGAGAGAGCTGTGAAGACGTGGGGCGCTTGAGGTACAGCCGTTAAAAAGTGTGGACGTGAAAGTTCCAAAGAGGTGGTGTGTGAGGAAGTTGAAGGGCCCGGGGCCAGAGCAGTCCATGCTTGGTTGAACCGGGTTACCCGGAAAGTAGGTGTGATAGATACAGGTGTTTAGTCTGCTTCTGGGTTGCCGGTAGACGTTAAATTTGCACAATATCCCATAGCTGGTTGAGGATTTTAAAATTATCAGCATAGGATAGGGTTTTATATTTGGGGTGAAGAAATTATCTGACACTTGGCATTAAGGTTTTTTTTAAAAAGCCAAATTTCAGAGTCTTAATAGCTTTTTTTTAAGCAAGTAAAAAGACACCTCATATCCAGTGTGTGGCCCTCCTGAAAATTATGATCCTCTCTCCCTCTTACCCTCTTCAGATGCGGCTAAATGGGGATGAGAAAAGACATGTATGACTTTCTTGGTGTTTGTAGGTTCTTCACGGAGCCTAGTGGCTTTGCAACAGCCAAGAAGATTATCAAGATTATTTTTTAGGGGTTATTTTACTGGGGATCTGAAGAACTAATATAACATCCTGGGTTATTTCTAGTTCAGGGGAAGGTGGAAAGGTATGCAATTGTGTTTTGTTGTAGCTTATTAATCCATAAGGGAAACTTAGACTGTAGACGTTAAGTGCGCTCCTGGTACAGTTTCTGTTTTCTGTATGTTGTTGGGGGATTCACGGTTTATATAGCAAGCACATGGCCTCCCTGATTTCAAGATGCCTTTATCAGGATCTGTATTAGCCCGTAATTCTGTTGAAATCTTTCTCCCTCCTGCTCTTGAAAAATAAGTTCCAAAACCTAGTTTATTCTATCTTCCATCATTAGAAAGTTTGTTCTTTTTTCACTATGGGCAGTTCACACAAGGCAGAAATATTAAACAGTTGGTTTTAGTGTGTTGTATAACTTTACTGTATATCAAACTAATTTCTACAAGTTTTCATCCTAAACCTCAAATCATGTAATTAATAATTTGCCTGTTTATTTATGACATAATTGTGATTCTTTTATTAATAAAAGCTAATAGAAAAGGATCCTTTTTTAAGCTGATGACTAGACCTACATTTAATTTTCCTGCAGTATATGAAGTATTGTACCAGAGTATTAAAAGATATGTAATATTTTATTGATAAATCTATCCTTTAAAAGGAATACGTTTTAGGATGTCATCATTTTGATGTGAATCATGTAAATGTTGATAATATGCACTGTTTATTATACATTTAGTGTTTCAAGAGATTCACTTAATTGCCTTTTTGCCCACGTATTATGTAGTCTATTTGCAATTGTTTAAAAAAAAAAATGACATGAAAAGAATAGTTTATGTAGAGAAACATTAGTGGATGTTAATGGTCTCCCCACCTGTATTTATGGGTGTTAGTTCAACTGCGTTACTAGTTGCAAAGCTGTATTATCAGAGTAAACGTGTATTTGTAAACTGTATGGAAACTAAAAATTAGGAATAAAACCATTTTCTTATATTATGGTATATTTGTCATTTACTGCATCAGAAATGTCCGGGAAAAACTGAGATTATAGGCCAATCTCTTACACTGGCTATATGCCGACATTTACCAGCTCTTACCTAGAGGGTAACTTGGGAAACAGAATGCATGAGTCTGTTCCTCAAGCATTTATTGAGTGCCCACTCTGAATGGCTTTGGGAGACAGGGAATTCTGTTTGCAAGAACTTCCAAGTAACAAATAGAAAGTATGTCTGTAAAATACACTGGGTAATGGTTAGGAAACGTACAAACTGAATGTAAATGATCCTGGGTGGACGTACGGAGTACAGATGGCAAAGGAGGCTCATGGGAGTAAATTATGTGCCACAGGACACCAGCTCTTCCCTTGACTTATTTTTTATTTTTTTAAATTAAGTGTATGTATTTATCTCTACACCCAACACGGGGCTCGAACTCATGACCCGGGGAGATCAGGAGTCGCACGCTCTTCCGACTGAGCCGGTTTCCTCAGTGAGACCAATCCACCAGCCATTCAAAACATAGGGAGCCCCTCTGCAGTGCCAGACGAGGACATAGAAGCCACCCTCCTGGTGGTGACGTTCTCATGGGAACCAGGCCTTGTAGGGGGCCGGAGGCAGTAATTCTACCTGGGGTGCGAGCAGGCTGCCGAGACGAGGCAGGAAAGCCCGATTAGGCTGGACAGCCGGTTCCAGGTGATGAGGATTTTGAAGAGTGGCTCCGGTGTCTGTCCCTCGGGAAGGTAGCTTTCCACGGACCGAGGACTTCCGTGCTACGGTGGTGTTTACCCTCTAGGGTCTCGGAGGGGGTGCCGAGTGCTCTGTCGGCCTGCAGACGCCTCATTCCCCATCATCCTTCCCGAGATCCTGGTTTGTACCTTAATTAGAGGCGGTGGCAGGATCTTGTCCTTCACATGTCATGAAAGAACCTTCTAGTTCTACAGTTCCTACTCACAAGAAGAATGCCCAAGAAAATGTGTGGATTGAAGATGAAGCAGGTGTTCCCACAACAAATCAACGGTGGACCGAGAACTAAGGGTTTATTTGACTCTATCGTCTTGTCAGTGGAAAGCTTCTGAGGAAAGTACCTACTTACTGGATCACATTACATGTATGCTTTGCATCCAGCCACTTGCTTTAGCTCCTCGAGAAGCAGTC